GGAGCAAGCTCAGTGCTGGGCAGGGGCTCCCTGGGGAACGGCACTTCCGTGCTTTAGTCCGGGGCCTTTCCTGCTGCCCTCCCTCCTGGAGGCAGAGGATGACCCCTCCCTTGTTCCTCCCACGCTCGCAGACCCAGGTCCTGCTCTTTTGGCCCCACTTTTCTTAGCAGACCCGGCATCATTTTCCAGGGTCCCCAGGAAACTTCTGCACTTGACCCATTGCTAAGTGCAGAGCACAGGGCAAGGCAAGGACAAATTTCTCAGCACCCACCACCTGGAACTTTCCTTCTCCGCAGCACGCTCCCGTCCCCGCTGTCTCTGGAGGTGCCCGCACGAGTCCTCCTCGTCCCAGCACCTAAGAGAATGTCATTTTCACCCCGGTCCTGCTTCCCGTCGTCCAACAAAACACGCTGACAACATTTTTCACCACGCCAGCGGAGAGCTATCAGAGCACACTGCACAGGGAAGCCGAGGCTGCCCCATCCCTGGAAGTGTTCCAGGCCGGGCTGGACGGGACTCGGAGCAACCGGGGACAGTGGAAGGTGTCCCTGCCCACGGAAGACGGGGTGGCCTTTGAAGGTCCCCTTCAAACCAAATCGCTCCGGGATTCCCCTCCAAAATCCCTGCCAAAGAGGCACAGCAATCAAAGCAGAGGGACTGCACTCCCAGCTTTTCTTACCTGCAGGCACGCTGGACATAAAAGCCGCAGGCTCAGTCCTGCCAGAGGCGTCCGGCACATCCACGGCGACCGAAGGGAAAGAGGGAGCCTGGGAACACGGAGTAAAAGACACCTTAATTAGGACTGCACCGAGCAATAGCCAGGTCATTCCCACAGACAGCTTCGCCGGCCAGTCACACGAAAAGCACTTACCCAGCAGGGCCTCAGTTAGGATGGCTCCTGACGCTGACCAGGCGAACGCCTCCGTTTGCCCCGGGGGGTCAAGAAGAACATCCCTGGTAAGAAGTCACCCCGAAGGACAAAAAGGGAAAATTAGTGAAGCACGGGCTCCTCTTCTGACTAGACTGCCACCGGCATTCAACAGCAAATGCCACGACTCTTCTGTTACAGATGAGAAAACCCTGTTCTCCCAAACAAACAGCGAGGAGATCTATGGGCACGCCTGAAAATTTCCTGGGAGGAACTTTTGGTAACTAGGGAGCAGGTGCTATCTTGAGTTGAAGGCATCAATTTGACAGACACTTGGTACAGCAAACTCTTCAGCAGAGGAATTAATTGCTGCCTATTTGAACAGCAGGGGTGAGAAAACAACAGCCTAAGGGAAGACAAGAAAAGCAGAACTGGAGTCAGCAGACTTTTCTTCCGTCTCTCCCGAGAAAGTCGCGTTTCTCTGTTCTAATAATTCTATGCCCTTTTCTACATGAACCTTAGACCAAGGCCGAAAAAACAACTAAAAAACACGGAGAGAAGCTTTTTAGAATTTCATGTGATTTTCCCAAACCGATCCCAGAAAAGCAGAACTCAGTAGAATGGACTCACCTCGAGGCCTTTGGTCTTTTTTTCCATAAGCTTCGTCACCTGACTGAAAAAGCAGAGCAGACTCGGTATTTAGGCTCACAACAGGAAAACTTCACCTTCCTTTCCTAAAAGAAACTACATTAATTTGCACAGCTGCAGGTGCGTATCCAGATGTTAAAGTCTTCCAGCTTTTCAGAGGGTGAGAATGAGGAAGGCTAAGGAAGGCTGAAAAATGCTCGGACCCTGCACAGGTCAAAGACCACCTTGATTTTGTCTGTGTTCCAGTCCCTGGCTAAAGAAACGGTAGAACAACCGCAGTTGTTCCTTGCCTTTTCCCTAAGAGGTTTTGCCAGGTGCTGGGCCAGCCCGGGCACTCCGGGGGCAGCCAGAGCTTTCTGCGGTGGCCCCTTTTGTCCGGGAGGAATCTCCGTCCCTATTCGATTCTGGGAATCGGACTGGCAACGCAAGCCAAGTCACCGGCAGAATTCTGGACCTTTGGTCTCCTCAGAGCGCCCACGGCGAGGGGAAAAAGAACATTTGGGTCACTGTCCCGGGGATGGAAACAAACAGAAAACCACGACACCGGACTGAATTCCCCCGCAGAAGCCCAAATTCACCGAACGCCTGCTGAACTCAGAAGGGGCACACTCCCTCAAGCCCAAGGCATCCTTAGGGCGCCTCCGACTCCGGATTTAAGGTCGGAGAAGCTCGGCAGGGCCAAAACACCGCCGCTTTCCCACGGGCGTCGCTTGCAAGGGCGCCCCCGAGCGCCGGGCCCTGCCTCACAGTCGCCGCCTGGCGGACACGGCCGGGAGCGGCACTGCAGCCGCGCGCGCCACTGCAGCCGCGCGCCCCCCCCCCTCGGCGAGACGCGCGGCGCCTTTCGCGAGTACGGGCCTTTCTTCCCTAAAACCTGCCCTTCCCTAGGGAAAGCTGAGCAATTCACACAGTTGCTGTTTCCACCCCAGCTTCCCAAAGCATTTCTCTCTCCCGCTGGCACAGACAGGGTCCCCGAGGCAGCGCAGACCCTCCCCGCGGGGGGGGGGGGGAAGGGGCCGGGGGGGGTGTGCAATGCCAGGGCACATCCGAACCCGGCTCTGCGGCGGCACGCAGGTGCAAGTTTCTCCGCAGAGGCGAGAAACTTGCCTGTCGCTTCCCCTGCCTGCAGCCCGACGGCCGCGGGAGAGGCAGAAGAGCGGCCGCGCCCCCGCCGCGCCCCCGCCGCTTACCCCGGGGACGATCTCCGTCGGATCTGCCGCCGTGGGTCGCTTCCGGGGGGAAAAAGCGACGGCGCAGCCCCGACAGCATCTCCGGGGCACGGCAGGACCGAGCGGGAGCGGAAGCGGGAGCGGGAACGGGAGCGGGAACGGGAGCGGGAGCGGAAGCGGGGCGGTGCGGCAATGGCGCCTGGGGTCCTCGCGCGCCGCGGCGCCGAGAGGGGGCTGCCCGCGCCGGTGCCTGCCGCCGCCCACGAACCTGCCGCCCGCGCCCGGCGCCGCCGAGCGCCCCGCCCTGTCTGCACAGCGGGAAGCGGCGCGGCGAGACGGTGCTGCGGGAGCGGGGCGGGGGTCCGGGTCGCGGCGGAGGTCAGGCAACAGGATCGACGCCTCTCCGAGGCAAGGGGTCCTCTCGCCGCCTACTTTAGTGTGGTCTCGGCTAAGCTGCGGTCCTGGCGGCGCCATCTTGAGTGTGGCCTTGGCGCACTTCCGGGCCGGGCCCGCCATCTTTGTGTACGGGCTTGGAGGTGTTCCGGTACCGGCGCCGCCATCTTTCTTTCGAGGTGGCCTCGCAACACTTCCGGTCCGGGACGGCGCCATCTTTTCTGGTGCGCCGCCGAAAACAGTCCGGTCGCCCTCTACTTCCGGTGACCGAGTTTACACAAATTACCGTCCCTCGCTAATTTCTGCGCTTTCGCCCCAAAAATCTTCATGTTATTTCCCCCACACACACACCCCGGGAGAGACGGGAGACCGCAAGTCCCGCCGTGCCGCCGGAATCGGCCCTTACCTTGAGCAGGGAGCGCTGCACCGGCACGAGAGCCACTGCGCATGCGTCCCCGGTCCCGCTCCAGGCCGCCCTTAGTTACCACGTGATCGCCGGCGTCTTGCCAAAGACTGCGCATGCGCCGGCGCCGCCATCTTGGCTTCCCCCTCCAACCCCCACCCCGCCGCCCGGCTTCGCTTTCTTACTACGGCTCCCCCTCCACTTTTTCGGCTCCCTGGGGTTCCCCCACCCACATTTTGGGGTCCCTTTCTCACATTTTAGGGGTGATGACTCCGCCATTTACGGTTCGGAGGGAGGGGGGGTGGAGGAGAGGAAACGTGGTGCCCAAGAAGGGGTTCCCTTTTTTTTTTTTTTTTTCTCTTTTCTTTCATTTTCATTTTATTTCCTTTTTAGCTTTTTTGATTTTAATTTTTTTTATTTTCTTTTGTATTTTATATTTCCTTTTTTATTTCGTTTATTTTTTATTCTCTTTATTTTTCATTTTCTCTCCCAGTGCTCCCCAGTAACACCCAGTGCTCTCCAGTGCTCCCCAACAACCCCCAGTAACACCCAGTGCTCCCCAAAAATTGACCCAAATCATCCCAAAAGCTGACCCAAAACTGACCCCAAAAGCTGACCCAAATCATCCCAAAAGCTGACCCAAAACTGACCCAAATCACCCCAAAAAATGACCCAAAACTCTGCATTTATTTGGCCTCATTTCCTCTCAAAAACAACATCTCCAATTTAGTTGACTGCTAAAGCTCGGCAGGGCCAAAACACCGCCGCTTTCCCACGGGCGTCGCTTCCCAGCCCGCCCCGAGCGCCGGGCCCTGCCTCACAGTCGCCGCCTGGCGGACACGGCCGGGAGCGGCACTGCAGCCGCGCGCCCCCCCACACACACACTTGGCGAGACCCGCGGCGCCTTTCGCGAGTACGGGCCTTTCTTCCCTAAAACCTGCCCTTCCCTAGGGAAAGCTGAGCAATTCACAGAGTTGCTGTTTTTATCCCGGCTTCCCAAAGGATTTCTCTCCCGGCGGCGGCAGCGGCAGCAGCGGCAGCGGCAACAGCAACGCTCCCCGGGAAGCCCTGACCGAGGCTGGGAATTGACACACAACAAGCCAAGAGCATTAACTCGGCCCCAAAACACTCCACAACAAAACAATTTACAGTCACCTTTGCCTCATCACCCCCACGCAAGCACAGGCTTTGGGATTCCAAGGCAAACCCCGAGAGGCTCAGAGGCCAGCAGCCCCTGCTGCTCCTCCCACTCGGCCAGTGGGGCTGAGAGAGGGAAGACGTACAGAGGAACTGGAAAAACCACACCAAATCTCAGGAAGTCTCCTTCTGCTAAAATCTTGTGCCTGTGTTTACAAACCTCCAGGAAAAACACTCCTACTGGAGGAGTCCTGGATTTTCCTTTGGCATTCAATGAACTGGCACAGCTCAAAGTGATGCCATTAAATTCTCCATCTCCAAAATCCAGGTTCTCCTTTGCCATGGGGCTTTTGCCTGTCCCACAGTCCAGAGGGACTTCTGGCAGCTGCACTGCCCAAGAGCTGCTGTGGTACTGCTGGGAAACTTCCCAGCATTGGGAGGGAGGCAGAAATAAAGTAATTCAGGGCACTACCTCAAAATATTGGGGGGAAAACCCCATAACATTCCATTGCCTCCTATTTTAAACAAACACCAAGCTGCTTAAATACAACCAATAAACTGTACCCTACAACTATTTGGCACTTTCAACTTAACCAATGCAAGTCAGTTGGTAAATCACACAACGTTAACTTTTTAAAAAAAAAAAAAATATATACAAAAATCAACGAGAGAAGATATTCCCCCTGTGGTTTTACTCTTAGGAAAGGAAAAACCAAACCCTTCCCCAGTGCTACAATACCTCAGGCTCCCAAAATGGCCCAGGGAATGCTGGGGCTTTTGGTTGCCCTGGAGCCCTGGGTCACCCCCCTCACGGACACAGCTGAGAACCCAAAGAGCAGCCACACCAGCAGCTCCTGCGAGCCCTGCTGTGCTGGGCCTTGGGGAGGAAGGGCACTGGCCTTTCTTCCTGCCCAGGAAGAAAAAGTCTCCTTGCTGATGACTTCTCCTGCCAAGTGCATCAGCTATGAAGGGAAGTTCACAAAGTGCAACTTCGTGGACTGAGAAAGATTCCTCTTTCCTGGAAAATCTCTTTACAGCTGAACTCAGACAGTACTCACTGGAGGTGCAGGGGAAAGGACAAGACTGAAGCCATGACCCATCAGAAACACATCAGGACTCACTGGAACCGGTTCCAACGCTGCTGGTGCTCCTTGGGAAAGTCTGGAAAACCCTCAGAAGTGATGCTGATTCATCCTGTTTTGTCTGAGTCTCTTCTTGGACCTCGACTGCTTTTAGCAGAGATGCTGCTACCTCAGTAAGGTCTTGGAGTACTCCTGTAAGATATTTTAGGACTTACTGACCGAAAAAGCATAAAACTTTTATTATGGACATCTGAACTCTGACAGACAGCTCCTTTTCCCTTTCAGTACAAAATTATTTTCACGGTATCATTTAATAGGAAGCACCCAGGAACCCAAGACTGAGCTCTCCAGAATAGAAAATAAATGGAGGGAGGAAGCTTTGCACAGGTGTAACATACTCCGCAACAGACCTGACTTTATTTTTAGTCTTTGAGTTAAAATATTTCATAGTAAAACTCCAGCACAAGAGCTGGCACATTCCCAACAACGTGAATGTCACTAGAACTGCTTTCCTGGATATACACAGATGTCACACACAGCTACCTACACACCTTTTCTCCAGCCTACCCATCACCAAGACTTCCTTTCCCAAGCCTCTAGTTACAGAGGAACTAGTTTTGTTTCTGGTCTGTGAGCTAAGCATCTTCAACCTATCAACAAGCAATACTTGGCCCTATAAAATTACAGTATGCATTTTACACCTATCAGCTTTCAACATGCTTTCTTTTCTTCAATCATTTTCTTGTTCTGGGTCATGCGACCTTTGGTTCCACGCACATTTTAGACACTTCCTCTCACCTCCTGCCACATTCGCTTCCGTTCTGGCAATGTCCACTGCTTTGTTAACCCTTTGTGTGCTTGCTCTGGTCACGGTTCTCTCCAGGGGCAGCACTGACAGCGGAGGGGCAGTACAGCTTCCTGAGTCCCTGCGCGTTGCTGCACATGCACCGCTCTGCCCTTCGCTTTGTGCCCCTCACGTACACGCCTTGTTGTTTTGGGGGGGGGGGGAATTCATTACTTCTTCATCACTGCGGAGCTCATGCACATGGGCAGGAGCCTCCGCCCTGCACATGCTCAGCCTTCTTAGTTGCAGTGCTACTGAGCGGCAGAGGAGCCCAACCCGGGACCAGGTGTGGGAGGAGCACAACAACGGAGAGGGAAGGACACTTGAAACAAGGCGGGGCAGTGCAGAGCAAACACCCTGGCAGGGGAGGGTAGCACACAACAGTCTGCTACACATACTGTAGCAGAAGTCAGAATTGGAACATGAAAAAATATACTCCCTCCCGCTCACCCTTAACACAGAAGCTGCTGCAGAAGCCCAGGATGGACTCTGGGAGCATGTCCATCAGAGCACCAAGCACATCTGCAGGAGCCACAGCCCAAAAGATTCACTAGGGCACTGAGCTCCACCTCTGGGCCCTGCCAATCCCTGCAGCTTTTAACCGGCCCCAAGATGAGATGAGGCACTCAATTCTGCAGCTTGTTGCCATCAGCACGATGCCATCCACACCCGGATCTGCCATCACTGGCCTCATTAGGGAGATCTGGGCCCACCACTGAGGGTCACAGTCTGCCTGTGAATTGCTGGAACCAGCAACAAGTCATGGTTATTCCTTATGTTCTCAAACTCAGGGAACAAACAAGGTGCACGCATGGGCACACAAAGCACATTTGAACACACGTACACTGTGCTAAGAAATATCCACTTGCACGGGCCCTCAAGGGCTTCACAGACAGCTGTCCCATGGACAGAGATATCACGGCCACGGGTACATGGAAGATGACTAATCCTGGCTGCTCCCAGCCTCTCCCCCTCAGGGAATCAGGGTTGCAAGGCAGAGCTCTCCTCTGAGGCAGCAGCTGGGGCTGGCATTCTTCCCAAAAGGTGCATTCAGACCTGCCACCCTTTACCGATTCCATCACAATACTGCCCCATGTCATTCCTTCATTTGCATTGAAGCTCAACAAGGCTGCAGGACAACAGAGCCCTGTATCAGTTCAACCAAATTTGTATGTGGAGCTACTCACATTGCTCACCTTCATGGAACATTGTTTGTTACAAGGACTGAAAAAAAAATTAAAAATATCCTTCAAGTCATCAATTTATTAGGTTATCAGAACTCATCCTTGTAACCCTAAATCTATTGAGTGCATATGAAATACTGACTGCTTCACTGTACGACATTTTATTCAGCTCTACCAACTAACTCAGAAAGGACTGAACATTTTTATTATAAACTTCAATTCACTTTCTTCAGAAATGAGTTAGAAACATTTTCACACATGCCTGAACCTTCACTTTTCAGATAAATGTCTCAGAGCTCCATTTCAACTAATTGCTGGAATAATACTTCTAAGTGTTGGCACTGAATATTCCAATGCCTAAGGTTACCAGAATGGGCATAGAAACGTGCCATTTCAGTTGCACTCCATTTTCTTTCAAATCTTACAGATGATAGGCCATCATGTAATACTAGCAAAGTTAACTGTTAAAAATCACATGAGTTCATTTCAGCTGTTAAGGCACATCCTTTCCTCTGCACAAATTAGTTTTTCATAATGTAACAATAAACTACACTCATGGCATTTCAACATATTGCAGTTGTTGCAGATACATTGTTACTGTGGTAATTAAAAAACTAACAGATTTGTAAGAAATACAATTCCAATACATGTATGAGAATTTATTGTATCACCATTCATATAAAGCATTTCAATCCAAAACGGTCAGAAACAATCTTAAATATCTGCGTAAGAATTTATAAACATTAGTAAAGATATACCACAGACTACAGCTTTCTACGTTTTCAAGTGTAAGTTCTGGTAGATATCCATGTTTCAATAAAATGGACAATACCAGTAGAGATGCATACCTCTTTTGTCTTTATTTATAAAG